TTTCAACTCGTCACACAACACAATTCCGTGCATGCCGTCAATACTGACGATATTGTTTTGCACCTTCACACTTTTTTGTGTGAATGAATCCAAGAGTAACACTTATTGGTATTAGTCAAGAATAGATATGTCTCCAAAACGATTGTCTACTTTTCTTGACTTGTAAGAGAATCCTTCCCCCATCAAAGAGTAGTATCGCTTCTATAAAAAAAACTGTGCGTGCCGTCATTTCCTAATAAAAACAAATCGGCACCATGTCTCCACGAGGGCAACTTTCTTTCACTCCTTGATACGCCTGTTGCGACACTTACCCTTCACGCGTACTGTTTTTTTCCGAGCCACGTGTTTCTGTAGGCTGGTTTTGTCGCCTCCTCAAGAGGTAAAATATGGCACTGGCAGCGGCGATTCCAGCGACGAAAGCTGCCACCGTTGCTCCAACTACTGCGCCAACTGAGTTGGGTAAACCTAAAGAGATTTTATCTCCTGGATTATTGGCTTAATTATCACAATGCCACAATGTTTTAGAAAATGTAACAGAAAAGTGTAACAATCAAACGTAAGAACATGTGGATGTCAAGCCGAGCACCTCCATCAATTTTAACACCTTGAATTTTGCCAAGAGTCACCTGAAGTTTTAGATCATGGGGTTCCGGAACTAAACGAGTGCCTCTCTCTGAAGACCGTCCAAAAAATAAAAAGACTTGTTTCTTTTGCTTAAATGGTTAAAGACCGAAATGTCTCTACAGAACGCTGTATAAAAGTGCCCACCAGTAGTCGCCTCAACTGGCGGTAACGTTGTCTGAATTGAAGTTTTTGTTGTACTGGGCGGTCCTACAATTAAAATCAAAACAAAAGCATTTATGACTCAACAACGATCAATGATCGATATCAACGATCAATGATCGATGATATGATTTCAAACAGTCATAGAATGGTGGTTGAATGTTTGGAAAGCACAAAAAAGAGACAATTTATTTTCTGATAGAAACTTGTAAACTCGGTCATGACATGATTAAGATTTGAGAGGCAATGCATGACTGCCAACTGTAAATTATCATAATTGTGCCATAATCTCTAAACTTTCCGAAAACCATTTTTATCTTCATAAATATACAAATGCCATGTCAAATCTTCAGGTAGAAAGTCTGGTCTCGTCTCTGTATCTTGTGCTTACACTTGTCTTCGTACGTTTTCATATAACTAGACTGAAACATTAATTGCAGTTTCAAGACTAAGCTGATTAATCCTATAGGAAACAATTCTTTTCCTCAGGCGGATCAGCCACAACATTCAGCTTATCAACATAAAAGTGCAAACGAAGCGATGCAGTTACAGTGTATGTCTTGACGATCACTTACTGGAATGTTACTGTCTTGTAAAAGAAACACGTTGATTTTCAAAGGCATGCGAACTTTCGACCACAACTGTATAAGAGTGGCAAGGGACAATGGAAACACATAAATTAATTACCTGGGCATATTTCTTCGGGAAAAATTGCTGTTCCCGTCCCTACTGTGTTTGTGGCATTGCAACTGATGACAGTACAGCCATCTACTGTAGTGAATGGATGAGATCCTTGGCTGGTCGTGAATTCCTTCACAACCTGAGTGCCATTCAGGATGATCTTACTCGTAGCCAGTGGGTTGGCATCCGACGAGCAAGTTATCACTTCATTAGCATACCCAACTGAGACCACTGGTACATCTGCAGGACAAATTGATACCACACGGGAATACAGTTGGACTGGTCACATTTTCAGAAACAACATTTTCAGGAATACACACAAAAAGAAAGCTGGCCCCTATCAAAAATTGCACACAATAATTCAATACAAAATTAAACTACAGTCATATTTTTCAATAAAATGAATGGTTACAATTGTACAAGTTACATATATCAACCAAAGAATAAGGTTGGTAGTCATGACCACTATAATGCTCTTGAACCGTGCACGCACATGGGCGATGTCATTGTGATTGTCATTCTGGAGTTATAAACAAAACACACGCTGCTCAAGAACGTTGGATTATTAAACCAGTTCATGGCCCAGACCATTGTCTTTTGACACATATTGAGGCCCCCGACCTCTGAACCATGCCACTGTTGACATTTCCGACTGAACAAGTGAATAAAGCTATCACTGATTGTACCAACTTAGCAATGTTCATCACTTCATTTACACGCTAGATAATCTTCAATTTAACCTCAAGATGAGTAGCCTTTGGTGTAATTTCGGATTAGTTAAGAGGGGAAAATAGGCGGAATAACAGAGTTTTATGGAGACTCTGCGGGATGCAGTTACAAAGTAAAATCAAGTTCATCATACGTACATTGTACATTGAGAGTGAGTGATGCTTTCTGTGCTGGGGCAACCACCTGTCCTGTTGTTCTGCATTCTAGGATGGCTTCATTGTCTTGCCTTGTTGGTGTAAACGTCAGTGTGCCTGACGTGTCATTTGTTCCATCTCCATTGACAGTAGGTGCATCTTCACTGACACCTGTTGTTATTTGGACATTATTTTTGTACCATTCCAAGTTGACAGCAGGTCTGAAGCCCCTGGCTGTGCATCTCAGCACACTTTCCACCGTTGCTCTCAGGATGACTGGATTGCCCGATGAGTCTCCATCAATTGTGATTCCATCTACAGTTCCTGCAACTACACAGAGAAATAAAATATGAAAGCTGTTACAACATTAAAAAAAACACGAGGTAAAGGACACGTGCATATTTTGATAGATAACGTGTACTGGTGGTGGTAAACCAAAAAACAATAAAAGAATCGTCATTCTGAAAAACATTTCAAACATGTACTTAATGAAAAATGATGTACAGTTCATGTACATGTTTATACGGTACATGTAGGTGTGTTCTAGCCATGGCTAATGCATTTACCAAGTCTCGATTGAGTCTTCACCTACTTTCAACTTTGAGTGTTGCAGCCTGTCTACTTGGCGTTATTTCACATTCATATGTTCCTTCGTCTGTGATTTGTGCGTTGGTTATTTGCAGATCCAATTGAGTTGTTGGCGTCGATGATGATGTGATGACATCAAAGTTGTCATATTTAGTGTTAGACCCAAAGACACCTCCCTCAGTGGCGAATGTATCTCCTCCTTCACTCCAAAAGGTTACACCTGGCCCTGTGTAGTCAGGGTTTCTGCAGTACAGTGTTGTAGTGGCTCCCCGCAAGACAGAGGTGTCTTGAGGTCCAGTAAATACAGCAACTGCTGCTGAGAGGAAAGGGGGCGGGAGTGAGCGTAAATACCTACAAGAATACTAAAAATGACATAATGCAATCAATTTGCGAGTGTGACTGAAGGTGCACTGAAAGTCAGAAAGAAACTGGTTGTCATGTCGTCATCAAAACAAACGCACACCGGAAACAAAAATGGTAGCTGCCAACAACCCGTGTCGAAACTGGAAGGAATTGTGCTCTAGATATTCGGAACTCGTCAACAATCAAAGATTATCCACTATTGTTTTTTAAAAACCAGGTACTGAGTTGCCCCATGGCATATTGGAGTTAGACAGTCCTGACATTGTACAGTATACATTGACTTTTTCAAACCTAGCAGTTTTTTCTCATAGTTTAGTCAGATTTTTGTTACGATTCAGGTATACGTACGCCTATGTATACACAGGCAGACAAAGGCGGGGATTTCTTCATTGTACTGCCCTTTTTGTCTTGAAATTAATCCAGACAAATCTGGATGCTTAATTTGGTTGGGATGGAGAATGCCACCTCAGAGATGGATTTTTCTCTCAGGGTTTTTCATTTTTTTTGGTACGGGATTACTTGTCATTAATGTCACCGTTGTTGAAGCCAATTGTTCTCTTCATTTTGTCATTAAACGCACACACAAATAAGACTCTTACTGAAGTTATACTTTTTAGGGGGTATGCAACCTTTTGACGCTGACTGCATAAAAATGGCAATCAGCAGGCTGGGATTCTGACAGGGCTCAAAATCCTCAACTTCTGCGAACTTGTATATACTATATTTTGCGTTTATATACATTGTACACTAGTATACTTCGAAAACAATACCCACAACCCCTGTCCACTTCACAATTAAAAAAGTGCCGACTCTATCTCACAAACCCCATGTAATCCATGAAAATCACTGAATTATGAGGAATACTGACGATCTTTGCCACGAGTCAAATTTAGTGTAGCACGTGTACAGTCGAAAGTTAAAATCAATTGCTCATCATGACTTAGACATAAGTGCTTGGCTCCATCAACGGAATAAAAAATAAGAAATAGCTAATTAAACCAAGCTATAGCAGTATAAGCTCTATTTTGTGAACAGAATAATACATTATCACACCTACCTTTATAAATTAATACAATCCATACAAATGTGCAAAGTGACAGTCCGCGGATGAAATCCATGACACCACTAGTTTGAAATCAACTGCGGCAGTTTTAATGCAATATGATGGCAACTTATTGGAATTGGTTAACGCCGAAGGGCAGTAAAACTTGTATGCATGCGATTTATTTCCCTACTCCAAACGTACCAGGAAGTACAAACGTAATTAATTCTGGTCGATTTAGATGAACTTTGAACTTCTATAACATGTGATGATGTCTCGGCCACATAATCCAATAATCACATCTGCCCTACATAAATACCAATATGTACAGGTACGCGCTACATGTAATTCTGTTACAGAACAAACATTTTTTTGTCTCGTCGTTGGATGCACAGTGGACATAGCCCTTCCCCTTAATTTTGGCGGGGATGGGTGGGCAGTGGATCATTCAACAGTTTTCAGTGCCAAGCAAAATAAAAAAAAACTTAATTACCCATATGCAATCAGTTAAGGGACAAAATAGTAAAAAAAAAGTATTAACTCAATGCATAACTGGTTCAGAGAAGACAGAGAAACAAATTACAGTTTTTCGTATTTCATCAATCAGAATTGATTTCAACCGTTTCAGCTTGTACTGATATCTGCTTGAGGTGCTAACTATACATTCAGATCATTCGTCGTGGATTGGTTCATATTTAGGATTCATTTGGACAAATTTAAAATACGCGTACAATACAGATTTCTCGCACTGTGATTAGTCAACGCGTTCCAAACTCATGAAGGCGCGCTATTGTGAATCACCCATATAATAGTTACCCTATGACGAAAATACCAGGGAATTTTATAGCACCAAGAAATGCATGCATACCACGGAAACCTAATTCTATTGGGGGTGTCTACTATCCCATTATGATTTTCTTTTAGATGAAGAAGAGTGCATGTCAGGGTTTAGGGGTGTTTAGAATTACACTGCTCATCAGAATAAACAATAAGTTGTCTTGATCTTATGGAATGATAATAATAATTTATTTATAAAGCGCAAATTTCGTAAAAATATGTTCAAATGCGCTGTACGTTGAAAATAAGTATAAATACATGTAATCGGGATTTAAAAAACTAGATACACCAAAACCAAACGATAAAATTGAACAAATCAAATCACAGCAAAGAACTGTAACGTCCGTTACAGCATGTACCCCCCCAAAAAAAAACCAAGGAGACAAGAAGACAACTGCCAATGACATCTACCCTAACCTACCACCCAGTTTCCAATACCAAACACCCTATACCCAGCACTAATCAATTAAAGGCCGTTGAAGATCTGGCAAAACCAAGAAAGAATACTGTATGTACGTATATGTACGTATAATCATTTGCAAAAATTTCTAACTTGTTTGAGGGCGGCTGGACCCCTAGGGTAAACTCCTCGAATGGCGCCCAAGGTCTCACTGGACAAGAGGATGCGCTAATACACACCCGTTAAAAAACAAAAATTAAAGTTTTAATTCATACAGAATAATAAGTGCCATCTGGTAACTCTCAGGAAGACTTTGACATGGCATGTATTACTGGAAATTCAAGGTGACGACCGAAGTTCAGTTTTCTTTTCAGTTTCATACAGGTTACCCACGTCGATTTTTTTACTTACCCCTCCCCTGAAATAGTAGTAGGCTATAACTATGCGTTTAGCTTCAGCTGCCCACCGCTGTCCAAAATAGTCCCGCAAGCATGGAGGTTTGAGTGAACGAAATAGCCTAAGGCAGTCTGAATTGGAAGCCACAGTCCCAACTGTGATTTATAATCAGCCCAGATTATGGCACCTCTCTTGCCGTGAATGATGAACTCGGTCCTAGAAATCTAGAAATTTGGTGAAACGAACCCAGAAGTCCCACCCCACGCTCGTGTTTTCTTACCGTAACTGTAGCTTTCTTGGGATACACAATGGAAAATGGTTTTTAAGAGGAGTTTATGCCTCGTGGAGGCACAGCCTCCGCTGTTATGTTAATGGCACACTAACTTACTGTTGATGTATAGGCCCTATTGATGGTAATTTCAGTGCATTTAGTCCAATTAACATTCCTTAATTATCCAGTCCTTGCTCTGTGAGTCTGTTTACACGCGGCACAAGTATCTTGCAGTTTCCTCTTGATCAAAGACAGAACGTATATGTGAGGGAATACGATCGCCTCAAAAACTTCCTGTGGATCCTACAGTTGCATAAGTTTTAATTGCTCCCATCATGAATCACCATATGGTTCAATAATCAACAAGTGGCAAGTGACGTGACATGATACAGGTGTTTTTAAAACAAAAACAACATCGAAAAAACTCTCTTCTTTCTCGAAAATAACGTTAAGTTAAAGTCTCTAAATTATTTGGCAGTTCTGTTTTCTGAATTTGAATTCGGCTTTTGATGTTATAGTAGCACGTGAAAATATTTACGAAAAATGTGTGATTCAGAGGCCACCAAAGTCCAAACACAAGTTCAGGGCCAAAAAAGAACTCAATTAATATAAACCAACAATTTCTCTTAGCAAACAAAACTGCTATTATGGAGGACGAAAAGTGGCCATCTGCTTTTCTGCTATCGGAGTAGTAGAAAAGCAGATTTTATGTTCTGGTAGCATGCAATTTCGACTTTGCTACTTTTCTACCACCTCAAAAAGCAGAACAAACAATGTTTGGTTATCATTTTTATATTTTTCTACTTTTCTGCTTCATGAAAAGAAGATTTTACTTTTTCTTTATTTGCTGACGGCCGAAAAGCGGCCATCTGCTTTTCTCCTTTTGAGCAGGCAGAAATCAGGATCGAACGTTTTGAAAACAACCGTGAATTCTACTCTTTTGCTTTTTTTACATACTGGAGGAGCAATTTTACATAGTCGGCCGAAAAGTGGCCATCTGCTTTTCTGCCTTCCAAGGGCCGTGAATGGGGTCGTGAACCTCAGATTATGACCATTTAATCGGAAACTGTGTTTCCTTTGACTCAGTGCTGTTTTCTCCGAGTCTGCCTCACAGTGACAGTGATACTGCCGTATAGGATTGGTCCGCAGAAAGCATTGTTAAGTATTGGTTTTAATTTTATATGTCTTCACTCCCATGCTCCCCCAGAACGGAAATGATCGTAACCTACAGGTTCATGACCCCATCCACTACCCATTGAGGAAAGAAAAGCTGATGGCCACTTTTCGGCCACCTATGTAAAATCTGCTTTTCCTTTATCACAAAAGCAAAAAAGTTGAATTCACGGTTGTCGTCAAAACGTTCAATCCACTTTCATGCTTGTTTGACAGGTAAAAAGCAGATGGCCACTTTTCGGCCGCCATCAAAAAGAGGAAAATAAAACTACTTTTGTAGTAGCAGCAAAGTGCATTACAATAAAATGATCATTCTGCTTTTGAGGAAGCAGAAAAGTAGAAACGTCCAAAACGTGCATGTTACAAAGACGTAAAATCTGCTTTCTACTATTCTGATTGTAGAAAAGCAAATTATGCCACTTTTCGTCCTCCATATTGCTATTGCAGAAAAGAGAAGTTCAATTAAGTAAGCACGAATTTCGGACTAGTTAGAGCAGGCAACCAGTCTACCCAGGTTTGCGACGGCGCCATGAGGGCGCGGCACACACCAACCATTTGGTTTTCAGCGATCCGCGCCGCGTTACATTGCCATTTTTAGGTGAGTCACAGCACACCTTCGTTTACTTGTATACATTGGTGGTACAATTAATATTGTGAGGTGATATCTGTGGTGTGGATATTTGGTCTGTGAAGTCATAGAGCTCCTTAGATGATGGTATGACCAAGACTGAGTGAGTATGGATGTGAATTCGAAAGTGTGGTAGGCTTAGCCTTCATTAGTACATGTACTGTAGCCTACTGACTGTACTGTCACTGCCCAGCACTGGCAGCAGTGCCGAGACAGTTAAACAGGGCCCAACGAATACTCCTCCGTCGTCATGGTCGTATCTGGGCCCAGTCCCAGCTATGCAGTCATAGGGATTTCCTTGGAAAACTTTATCCAGGACATCGGGGGGCATAACTAAACAACCAAAGAGGAAAACTAACACTCCACTTACATGTGGTACATGTAGAGCTAAGTAGAACCTAAGTAGAGAACATGAAAGTGGCGCATGAGTGGAGAATTTTTCCCATTTAAAATGGTGATGAAGCATTAGTGTGTGCTAGTTACTCTCTGAACAGCTGAATAGCCATGGGGTCTGACACCCCCCCCCCCGATGGACATCAAACCCCATAGTTCTGGGGTACAGTATATTGCTCTGTCCCTTATTTTGTGGTTAACCAATCAAACACGTCGGTAGCGGTAGGCATGATCTGGATGCATTAAGTAGATAGAGTGCATCACATTAGATGAGGTTGCGAAATTAGGGACCCAGCAACTAGGTCTAGGCTCTATACAAGTACACCAGCAAGTTTTGACGTTACATGTACATACATGTATATCCATGCAGGCCTGCATGTACATGTACCTTGTGTGATTTTGTTCTTTGTTTTTCATTTCAGAATGATTTTGATTACAAATTCAGCCTGATGACACCAGCGTGACCAACCAGAACTTGTTATTTGGAGACAGTGCATAAATAAATGGGACACTACTTGTGACAATCTGGCATCACACGTAGTGATTTGTGGAATAGTGGGCTCTGTCTCTAATTCTTCACTTTGGATTGGCTGAAAATTCCTAAAAGCCATTATCTGCCACTCTTTGAAATTGGATTAAGTGGAAGTTGGAACGATGGAGGAATGTAGAGGTGGTCGCTTGGGACTCATTTTGTGTACAATAGTTTTCGCCTCTATTCCGTTTGGTAAGTACAAAACTGTACATTTACTATGCATTACCATGTATTTGTACATGTAACAAGGCCTTATGAATGCAGAGCACAAATGCTTTGTAAAACATGCATGAGATCAGATGTGTTTTCTCAAACTGTTTTTTTTTGGATTTGTTTTTAATTATAGAAAATTGATCTATAGGGAAATTAAAATACGCACACTTGAGATTCTGTGTCGGGATTTCATTGTTGCCTTTATTCTTTAAATAGTACCATGATGGTACCCACAGCCCCGCAGGTAATTTCTTCTCCCTTTTCCTCTCAGCAGCAGTTGCTGTATTTACTGGACCTCAAGACACCTCTGTCTTGCGTGGAGCCTCTGCGACACTGTACTGCAGAAACCCTGACCACACGGGGACGGGTATCACCCAGTGGAGTGAAGGAGGAGATGTTTTCGCCAATGAGGGAGGTGTCTTTGGGTCTAACACTAAATATGACAACTTTGATGTCATCACATCATCATCAACGCCAACAACCCAGCTGGATCTGCGAATAAACAGTGCTGAAATCTCAGACGAAGGAACATATGAATGTCAAATAACGCCAGACAGAAAAACTGCAACCCTGACAGTTGAAAGTGAGCACTTGATCAAGACTTTTCAAATTTAAGTCTAACGACAGGCTTTCTACAGAACTACAAATCTGACAAGATTGAAAGATTGTTGAATTGTTTTAGCAGGAAAGGAAATGGGACAGTGAATTGTCAGGAAAATTGCCATGTACCTGTAGGAATTACATGTACAGACAGAGTGTAACACTTTAAAGTACATACACGTGTACACGAACATTGTATTTCACAAAGTAGATGTTTCAAATGCCTAGTTTTTTCCTTACCAACGTAAGTACATGTAAAAATGTTGACTAAGCTCTGGTAACTATAATTTTCTTGCTTTGGTTAAAGGCAGGTTGTTAAATGTTTCAGATTCCATTTATTTCTACATCCCACAGTTGAAGGAAGTCTGGATGACATTTCAGTTGACGGTGATTCATCAGGAAATCCCATCATCCTGAGAGCATCAGAGCCAAGCGTGCTGAGATGCACAGCCAGGGGCTTCAGACCAGCAGTCACTTTGGAGTGGTACAAGAACAGTGTTCAGGTAACAACAGGCGTCAATCCAGAGGCACCTACTCCTAACGGAGACGCATTTGATACATCGGGCACACTGACATTTACGCCAACAAGGCAAGACAATGAAGCCAATCTAGAATGCCGAACAACGGGACAGGTGGTCGCCCCAGCAAAAACAGCATCGCTCACTCTCAATGTACAATGTATGTATCATGCTTAATTTGCTCATAATTTTTAACCACATTGTGCAAGAGTCTTAACGAACTTCCCATGTATGTAATTTTTTTCTTTATACCGGTACGTGAGCATAGTTTGCTGTTTCTCTTGAAGTTCAACTGAAGATGGCAGAGAATGTAAACCTGGTGAACACTTGCAAGTTGGTAAAAACAGTGCTGGTGTTATTAATTTGAATAGTGGAAGACTTCCAAAGGCAATACAGTTCAGAAGCCGTTGTTGGCCTCCTGTGCTGTAAGGCAATGATGTGCACCATGAACTGGCTAATCTAAAGTGCTTGACCCTCAATACTTCCTAAAGACTTCACATGTGCACATGCAGGTGGATTGGGTGCTGTTGTTTGTAATGAATTCCATTCACTCTTTTGGTTACGATTTGTAACCCTCGCCTTAATAGCCATTTTATTCTGAACAATAAGTAGAGAGTGTGCATTAGACATGTCAGATAAACATTCTCCTGATCTACATGTACATGTATGATTATTTTCCTGGCGTCCTTATACATTTTTGAGGGGGTTGTGAAGAAGATTCACTTACTGTAGTGGTCCTTTGAGACATGGCAGATTCCTTTTTTATAAAAACCCTGTATTATCGGAAGAACAAAGGATTGAGACTTAATATTTCCCTATATTATGTTATATAACAGTGCAGTCATTAACATCTTTCGAACATGGTCGCAGATTCGTTTGTATTGAAATTTGAGGACCATGTATTTGTGCAGAATTTTGATAGATGTCAAGTTTTCTATTTATTTTTATTCCTGAAATGTTCACCTTGTTGTCAAGTCCAACTGTATTCAAGTGTGGTATCAATTTGTCCTGCAGATGTACCAGTGGTCTCAGTTGGGTATGCTAATGAAGTGATAACTTGCTCATCGGATGCCAACCCACTGGCTACCAATCATAAGATCATCCTGAACGGTACTCAGGTTGTGAAAGAATTCACGACCAGCCAAGGATCTCAACCATTCACTCCTGTAGATGGCTGTACTGTCATCAGTTGCAATGCTACAAACACAGTAGGGACAGGAACAGCGACTTTTACTGATGAAGTATGCCTAGGTAAGTAATTTCTGTGTTTTCCCAGACCCTTCTAATTTTAGTAAGGTCTTTCTTTCTTTTGCATATTCACAATTTAAAACCAAATTAACCTGTGAAATACGAGATGACCCTTTGTCAAACACTGAAGTTCTGTTCTGGCAGTCTTTAATGTTTGTACATGTTATTACTTCCGTTAATGACACCAAGGATTCCTCAAAAGCGCCCTAGGCGCTGTAGCTCGCAAGCCTGAAGAAACCTTTAGAGAGGAGACAGTGAGAAGCAGTTACAGTTTTAGAGGTGGGAGGAAAATCCCAGAGGAATATTCTGGGTAAAACCCACGGAGTCAGGTAGGGACTGAATACCCAATCCACATGTGAACCGAGCCGGGAATCGAACCCGGGACCACAGAGATGGAAGGTGAGGAATGGACAACTACCGTATGACAACCTGACTCAACCTGTGCTCATAAGAACATGTACACGTACACAAGTCTCTGTACATAGACTTGTTAGAATGTATGACACGTGGATCATGGATGTACAACTGTACATGGACATGTAGGTGTGGTAGAGCAACTTCAGTGTGTTGTGTGACAATGTACATGGAGCCCCAGTCCCTGTATAGAATTTAAGGTTGTCATTTAAACAATTAGAATTTTTCTGAAATATAGATGAGATTTATTTTGATCTCCAGTGTAACCTACGTGTTCAATGTGTACATGTACATGTACATGTAAGTACAGGAAGCCCCAGGAGTACTGTACAGTGACAGGTAGCTGCAAACAGTGCGTGTTCATGTACAAGTGTTGACAAAACTCTAAACTTTGTACTGTACATACATGTACATGTGTGTACTTAAACGTACATGTA